GTTCGAGAGTAAAGCTGTCACAAATCATTGGCAAACACGTCCAGACGACACCGGCAAATTGAGAGAGTGCTCTAGCCGGAAGCGGTTAGCGTGTGTGGCAGTAGAGGAAGGACTTTTTTTATCCGCCAAACAAGGTTACACTGTTTTAAAAATTTGTAAAATTATGACACAGTATGTAATGAGAACTTTGATAAAAAAATAAATAAAAAAAATCATCTGTTTTCATTGGCATGTGACAAAATTTCTTCTATCTTACCCGTTGTGGCCCATAACAATAATTACTGCTTATCACCTGTTGTAACACTACAACAAATCCGTTATAAAGTTTGATAGTAACATATATCGTTTCAAAAGGAACAACTTTGTGTTATTACAAATTGTTGGCGCAAGTGAAAGTAACCAACTGTATTTGTTCAAAATGAAGATTTGTTTCAGAAAATTTTGTGAATGTTTTGATTTTTAACAACAATTGTCGCTATCAAACAGTACATTCAAAGGTGTTGTAAATTTACATCAGATGTTGGCCGCTGGATTTGTGGCAACAAACAGGGACGTTAACTGCAGGAGCTTTCTGGTACATTGTCGTGCGCTCTACTTGCGTTTTCCCGCATCGCTCGGTGTTCTGGTTCAATAAATACATTATTTTTATAAGTAAATGTTTAGAGGTAAATGTTACTTTACCCGTACTTTTTAGTAGATGATACCTTAAAAACCCTTTGACTAAACATAAAGTATACATAAGTAACTTTAAGGTGTCAGCTAGCTTTTACTCTCAAAAAAGTAGGGAAATCAAGTGCAGATCAGAAAACAATTTCTTTTCGGCTGAGGGGATCGTGTCCGAAAAAGTGTCGCGCTAGGCCCCTTCCCTTACACTGTCTAACAATACAAAAATACTGCAACAGTCAGATTCCTTCCCTGCCCAACAAAATATGAGAGAAAATTATAGAACACAGACCTATCCTTACAGTGGTGTCTCACCCCTCCCCCCCCCCCCTCCCAAAGCGTGCTGGCCGTAGCGCCCGCGAGGTCCCGGTTAGGCAGCCCGGCGGGCCGCGAGCGCGCTGCGGGATTGCCCACCTGGCGGGCGGGCAGGCAGCGTGCTTTCTCGCACCGCTCGGCGGCGTCTAGCGTCAGCCCGACAGTCGACGCGAACGCAAACTATATTTCCACAAGAGATAGGGACCCCCGACCCCCTCTTCCCCTTCCCCACCAACAGCGGCAGCGGCAGCGTTCGGAGTTGAGCGAGCCGGCGACTCTTGGTGGCGGACCCTCGAGTTCTCGAGTGCGCCGCTCGGCGACGCAGAGCGGTTAGAGATCGTCCTGCCGAGACCTCGCCCGATAGACAACCAAGAAGTGAGTAAATGCCGAGGGCAAATGACCAGCTCGGGTCTGTCACCGGGCCCAAACAGTGCCCGTTGTTACTTGAGGATATAGTGCAGCGATGACGTTCGGCTTGTACCCGGGTGGAACGAACTCGCAAGACTTTTGCTCGAAAGTGTCAGTCTTAACCGGGATAACAGAGAACGGCCTTGGCGGGGGAATACCTGAGCGTAACGTAACGGAACGCGAAACGAAAACGCATAAAAATGCAAATGAAACTGCAACATTCCTGCGTTATCGAAGCGTTTTTAAAGAAATTCAAACGTCTTCTCTACTATAATGCTCGCAGAAAGATGAAAACGCTTCAAAAACGCTTTTAAACTGAAATTGTATCTTCGGTATAGTGTGTTTCCGTTACACGTTAAGTTACGACGCCCTAGCCCTGAGTAAGCAACTAGACTAAACCTCGAGGGGTCGTTAACTTCGATATTCCTCCGTACACGGACTGATATTACCTCAAATATTACACCAATATTAGCCATATTACTGGTAATATTACCTCGATATTACACATTTTTCTAGTATTATGACGTCACAGCTTGAAAATTGGCTCAATATTACCAATATTATTTGTAATATTCAATATTCCTCCGTACACGGCCAAGGAGAGTTGACGACCCCTCGCTAAACCTGTGACTCTGATTTACTGTGTCTCGTCTATACCAGGTGGCTGATTCACGCCGCGCACTTCTGTAGTTATGCTGTACCGCATGCACGAGTGCGGGCGGGTTGCCTACTTGCTCGGCTCGTAAGGCGCCGTGGACAGGGGCGATACGCAAGCCCACCCGCACTCGTGCATGCGGTACAGTATACCTACAGAAGTGCGCGGCGTGAATCAACCACCTGGTACTATTTTTTCGATTTTGCTCTGCAGCCTGCTGCTATCTCTTTTGTTGTTGTCACAACTCCTGCACCAAACGTCCTCACAACAAGCCCCCACCGAATATGGATGTGGGTGATATCAGCTGGAGTAGAGGCGGCGACAGGCAGAAGGAAAAGGACGCCGTCCTGTTCGACGCTCCAGGGGTGAGTGGGGACCGGAGGACTTCGAGCCCCGTCATTCATGGCGAGTGCGAGGCTGATGGGGAGGTCGCGTGTGAGCCCGGCGAGCGGGGGGCAACAACTCCCTTTCGATGTGTACCGGGTGATTCAGAGCACGCGCCGCGGTGTTGCTGGATTGCATACCCTAGGGGCTATGGCGCCCTACGGGCGGACCGAGGGGCTGACAGAGTAGGCAAACCCGCCGACAGCGGCGTGTGCTCTGAATAACCCGGCACGCGTGATTCCCAAAATACTTGATTCCCAGTGATTCCCGTCCGCTTATGTTTATTCCTCAAGGTTTTCTAGCGGTAGAAGACGCTTATTTCGACTGTAGTTTGTGCCAGATCCACTTGTTTCCCGCTTAGTTTAAGCAATTTCTGTTGATGTCGATTAGTTTTTGCCCTGGTCATTCCCAGGCAGGTGCACTCATGATTCCCGGAGTTGTTGTTGTTGTAACGTAGGTTTGGAGGAATGAAAGGCAGCAGGTTGATTAGCACTTTTAATGGTCAAGACCAGACTGACGTTTGTACAATGATACAGTGACGAGGAAGAGTGGGTGGTGCGAATAGTTTGAAGCAGCTGATTGGCGGAGTGTGAATAACATTACAACAGTTGTTGCCTTCGGCGTGACTGTGGACCGGAGGTGGGCAGTCGCCGCCGCCGGCCTCGTGTCGCCCGCGGGCCGCCCCGAGTGACTCTGTTCTGCCGCAGGTGACGCGGCTGGTGGACGTTCGGTGCCAGAGGGACCCCGAGTGGAGCCTCCAGCTGCTCCAGCGCGCCGCGCCCTCCCTGGAGGAGCTGAGTGTGCACCACCCCAGCGAGGCCCACCTGCTCGCGGTGCACGCCATGCCGCGGCTCAGGAGGCTGCACGTGACGAGTGTTCCTGCCCCGTACAGGGGGAACCCGAACATACCAGATTTCGCCAAGCCACCCACAGAAGAACCACGACCGAGACACGCCCTGCAGTGGCTCAGGGTGTGGGGCCTCCCCCGCGTAACGCTGGGGACCCTGCTGCGGGCGCACCGCGAGTCGCTGGAGGAGCTGCAGCTGTCGGTGGGCACGGCGGAGCCGCTGTTGGAGGTGGCGGCTGTAGCGTTGGTGGACAAGATGAGTAGTTGTAAGGCGGAGCCGCAGCCCTGGTGGCCATACAACGGTGGCGACCTGCACATCCAAGTTGTGCGACTTCACGACCAACTGCCACTGCCGTGGCGCGGCCTGCGGGCGCTGCGGAGGCTCGTGCTGGAGAGGAGTTCTGTCTTTCATGATGCGGCCCACTGCGTCAGGCAGCTTGCCCAAATGCGGCCGTTGGTGGACGGGGCCGAGGTGCTGTGCGACAAGTGCGACGGTGTGGCCGGGGAGGAACTGTAGGGGCGGCGAGAGCGACGGCGGCGCCCAGTGAGTGACGGAAAATTCCGCGAGCAGCGCGCCACGAGACGGGAGGAGGAAGTGGACAGGAACAGTCCAGCCATTT